CAGAAGAGACTCTGAAACTTGCTCTTGAACATCAAGTAGCTAAAGCAAAGGGAAGAAATGATGAAGTAAAAGCTGAACAGAAGATTTCAAAGAGTGACTTCAGAAGGCAAAGTAAAGTATTATAATGACATGTGCAAAGACCTGGAGTTAGAAAACCAAAAGGTAAGAACATGCTTAGCATTTCTCAAGCTGAAAGAAATGAAGAAAAAATTCGAGCCTCGAGTTGCGATATTGAAGGATTTTATAGGGAAAATATTAAACGACGCAGGAAGCATCAAAAGAAGATGGAAGGAATACGAAGTCACTACACCAAAAAGAATTGGTTGACACTCAACCATTTCAGGAGGTAGCACATGATCAAGAACCGATGGTACTGAGGGAAGAAGTCCAAGTTGCACTGAAGGCATTGGAGAAAAACAGGCTTCAGGAATTGACGGAATACCTTGCTTGCTGAAAGTGAAGAGGATTGAAGCACTTACTGCTGAAGATTAAAGACCACAGCCTTCAGTATGGATTGCACCTCACCATAAATAAAACAAAAATCCTCACAACTGGACCAATAAGCAACATAATGATAAATGGAGAAAAGATTGACATTGTCAAGGATTTCATTTTACTTGGATCCACAATCAACACCCATGGAAGCAGCAGTTAAGAAATCAAACGACTCATTGTATTGGGCAAATCTGCTGCAAAATACCTCTTTAAAGTGTTGAAAAGCAAAGGTGTCACTTTGAGGACTAAGGTGAACCTGACCCAAGCCATGGTGTTTTCAGTTGCCTCATATGCATGGGAAAGCTGGACGATGAATAAGGAAGACCAAAGAAGGGTTGATGCCTTTGAATTTTGGTGTTGGTGAAAAATATTGAGTATACCATGGACTGCCAAAAGAATGAACAAATCTGTCTTAGAAGAAATACAACCAGAATGCTCCTTAGAAGCAAGGATGGCAAGACTTCATCTCACATACTTTGGACATGTTATCAGAAATAATCAGTCCCTGGAGAAGGACATCATGCTTGGTAAAGTAGAGGGTCAGCAAAAAAGAGGAAGATCCTCAATGAGACAGATTGACACAGTGGCTGCAACAATGGGCTCAAGCATAACAACGATTATGAGGGTGGCACAGAACTGCGCAGTGTTTCATTCTGTTGTGCATAGGGTCGCTGTGAGTTAGAACCGATTCGATGGCACCTAACAGCAACAACAACAGTTTTGTTAACTTTCTTTGTGGTTACCTTGACATTTACCTTTATCTTCATAAGTTTAATCTTTTATTTCTTCGTATTGCCTTGACTTCCTCTCCATATCAAAGTTGTGTAACTACACCATTTATTCCACGTTTCTATTTAGGTGTCGTCATCATTTATTGATTGCCATCTCTGGTTCTGTTTTTAGTCTTTGGTATTTTTTTTTTTTTTTTTTTGGGAATTCTTTATCTGAGTTTCGTGTCTGGCTGATGCTATCCTATGTCCTAATCTCAGGTTGTTGTCTGATGCTGTTGGTTCTCTGTCTGAAGGACTCCCTTTAATATTTCTTTAAGGCTGGTCTGATTTTTTACAAATTCCCTTAATTTCTGGTTATCTGGAAATGTTTTAATTTTGCCATCATATTTGAGAGACAATTTTGCTGGATATGTAATTCTTGACTGGCATTTTTTTTCTTTCAAGGTTTTATATATGTCATTGCATTGCCTTCTTGTCTGCATGGTTTCTGAGAAGTAATCAGAGCTTAGTCTTATTGGTTCCCCTTTGTAGGTGACTTCTCATTTTTCTTGAGCTGCTCTCAGGAATCTTTGTCTTTGGTTTTGGCAAGTTTGATTATATATCTTGTTGACTTTCTTTTGCGGTCTATCCTGTACAGAGTTTGTTGAGCTTTTGGGATGGATATCTTTTCATCTTTCATGATATTAGGGAAGTTTTCTGCCAGCAAATCTTCATTGATTTTCTTTGTAGTTTCCATTGCCTCTCCCTGTTCTGAAACTCCGATCATGTGCAAATTTTTCCTCTTAATAGTCTCTCAGATAATTCTTGGGCTTTCTTCGTTCTTTTTTCTGATTTTTCCTCAAAGAAATTGTTGTCAAGGGATTTGTCCTCTATCTTGCAGATTCTGTCTTCCATTGATTCAGTTCTGCGCCTGTGTCTTCTATTGAGTTGTCTATTTCTGAAATTTTTCTTTGTTAATCTTTTGTATTTCTAGGTGCTGTTTTTGTGTAGTTTCTAATCATCTATTTAATTTGTCATTTTATTCTTATATTGTTTTCCTGAATTCTTCTATTGCTTTGTGTTTTCCTTTATTTTGTCTGTGTTTTCCTTTGTTTTGTCTGTTTTCCTTCATCTGTTTCTTGAACTCTTGCACAACCCTATAATATTAGTCTTTTGAATTCCTTATAAGGTAGTTCCATTACCGTTTCTTCCTCTGGAAGATTTTCTGGTTCTTTATTTTGGTCAGTTGCTGGAGCCATCTTGTCCTGCTTCTTTGTGTGATTTGTTACTGTCTGTTATGTCTGAGGCATTAAGGTGTTATATTTATTTATTTATTGTATGTTTGTTTGCTGTGTCCTGATTTTTTGTTTTGTTTTGACATATCTGAGTCTGCAGAGCGTGCATGCTACTCTGGTCGCTAGTCTGGCCTCACTGGAGCTCTCACCACCTGTCTCCAGGTGGGTGGGACAGTGGCTGGGCATGTGACCGTGATTCTCTGTCTGTTGGTCTTACAGGGCAACTGAGGATGTAGATGGCATTGCTAGTGAGGTAATTTGTCTGTCCAGCCAGTCATCTTTGCATAGGTGCAGGGAATGTTCTCATTGTTCCCTATGTTGGGTATCGTGTGTGTGCACTGCCAGTTACTGGGTGGTCGAGGTGAGGGTCCCCAGGTTGTCAGTCACCAGGTGGGTAGAATGGAAACTCTTACTGATGATCCCAGGCAGGCAGGGCTACAGGGGGGTGGTTAGAGTAGGCACAAGCTTCCAGTTGCAGGGGGTCAGGGGCGGGGGTGAGGCAAGGGGGATGCCACCAGTCCATGGATACCTGATTTGAGTGCATGCTCTTGTCTGCTAGAGTGTGACATGAGGGAGGGTGTGCCACAGTCCTTGGGCTCCTGATGCATGTGACTGGAGGGAGTAGGATGTGCCAGTGGTCCATGGGCCCCTGGTGTGGGTGGCTGGGCATTAGGAGTAGGTACTACTGCTTTGCAGGTTCCTGGCACCAGTGACAGGGTGGAGCAGCAGGTTCCGCTGGTCTGTGGCCCCCTGGTGGGGGCAGCTGGGCATAGGAGCTGTCATGTCTGGTCCTCGAGCCCCCGGGTGCAGTTTGCTGGGTGGAAGAGGGGGTGCCACCAGTCCCCAGGTCCATGGTGCTGGTGACCAGGTGGAGAAGAGGACACTATGATTCTCAAGCCCTGGCTCAGGTGGCTGGGCTTAACAGTGGGTGCCACTGGTCTGCAGGCCCCTGGTGTGGGTGACTGGGCAGGACAGGTGGTGTTGCTGGACCACGGGTTCCTGGTGTGAGTTGGTGGGCAGAAGTGGAGGTACCGCCCATCCATGGGTTCCCAGCTTGGGTGGCTGAGTGGAGAAGCAGGTGCCACCAAATCGCAGGCACCCAGTGTGGTTGGGTCGGCAAAAGAGGGGATACTTCTGGTCCATAGACCCCCAGCACATATGGGTAGGTGGAAAAGTGGAAGCCACCATTCCTCGGGCCCCTGGTGCCAGTGGATGGAAGGAGAAGCGAGTGCCGTCTTTGGCACGAGTGGCTGAGTGAAGAGGTGGGCACCTCTGGACCGTGTGCCCCCAGCTCCGGGGGTGGGGCAGTGGTGGGTGCCAACAGACCATGATTGCTTTCAGAGGGGGACAGGTGAAGGAGGTGGGAGAAACAGCATAGTTCCGTGGGCCCCCAGCATAGAGGGCTAGAGTGGGCACAGTGGGTGAGGTGAGTGCACTTAACTTTCACAGGGTGGGGAGAACTTCTTCCTGACCCTTGACATGGGTGCAGAGTCACTCCTGCTTGGCTGCACCAGGTGATGGTGTCTTCAGCTGGGAACACTGTTTGCTTTGTCTCTGTATGGCGCGCTGTGCAAGTTCGGCTGGCAGGGTGCTGGCGATCTGTAATTCTGTTTTTGTACAGTCTTTCCTTCCACTGGGCACTCAGTCTGATTCTTCAGCCTTGCCTTTGCTGTTCAGGGTTCCAAAGTTGTCATATGTATCTGATTCATTTGTTTTCTCAGGTCTTTGTTGCAAGAGGGATGTTATGAGATGTCTGACTATGCTGCCATCTTGGACTACCCTCTGATAAAGGAATTTTTAATATTAGCCCCTTTTCGTCTCAGAGATGTTTTTTAATGTGGACATTTATGTTACAGTGGACTTTATTTCTGTTTTCTCCTCTCCTTTATCTATCTCATATTTTCCTACTTACTTCTCCACTTTTTAGAAGTTATTAAGAGAGTAAATGAATTCATAGGCAGTGTCGTCTGATGGCTAAAATGCAGTTTTGAATAACCTGTAGGTCTCCCTCTACAGTAAGCACTTATTAATCACCCACTGTATGCCAGGTACTGGGCTAAGACCTGAGGATACAGAGATAACAAAGACATTGCCCCATGCCATAAGGCCGCCTTTGATTTTCTGGAAAATGTTGGGAAGTCATTTGTCTCTATGGTTGTGTTTTTTCTATCTCTAAGAGTTCTCATTTTGATGCTCCCAACTTAACTGGGATTTTGTGAACATATGATTGTGTGGAAATAGCCTTAAGTTCTCTAGAAGAAAAAATTGTTTTAAAACAGTGTACTATTTCTCAGAAAATGGGCCACTCTTGTCAAACTCTTAAGGAAAGGAATGTGGAGGTGACTGGCCCACCACTTGTAGAATCTGGAAGGAATGTGGTGGTAGTGGTGGGGCTATTCAGGAGGTGGGGGCATTTGGTGTCCATAGTCTAATGACCTTTTGGTTATGTTATATGTAGCCCCTAAGTGACCATTTGGGGTGTCCCTTTTTCTTTTTCCAGAATAAGCTAAATCTGAACACAGAAGGTAACAGGATTCTAAAACCACATTATGCCCCTAGTGACCTAACTGACAAGATGGTGGTGAACTTTGGGAATTTTCTGGAAGAAGTTTCCACAGAAGAACCTCTGAAGTATCAGAAAAACATTGTTGGAGGGGAAAAGAATGACTATGTGACCTCCCCCTACATGCCTTCTTGTCCCCCGGTAAAGAGCTTCCAGGAGCCCCTGGTTTCAGCCAAGATTCTACCCATAAAACCCCAATCCCTGTGTGTGGGAATGCCAAAAGGGACCTGCTCAGAAGACAAAGAGCAACTTCTCTTCTCTGGTCACCATTTCTGTGATGAAGGAGCACCAAATCCATACTTGAAAAATTCAGTGACAATGAGAGAATTTCTTACGTCTGAAAAACTTCCAGACCAAACCAAGAGAGAAGTCTGAATGCTTCTGTGACTTGAGTCCCTCTCCATCTCAGTGTGGATGACTCTTGATGAGAGATGATATCAAGACTTGACAAGAAGCCCTTCCTTGGCTCCCTCCTCATTCTGCCTGTTAAAGAAAGTCTCTCATGCCCCTGAGCTGCCAGTTGAGCTTGGTTGGCACAGATGGATAACTTTGTCCTAGAAGAAAAAGGGCTTTGTAGAGGAAACCAGTTTATTTTCGTTTGTTCAGATAACAAGCTCTCATTGAGGCCCCCAGATAGATAAGTGTCAAAGGACAGGCCCAGGTTCTGTGCCCAGTGGACCTTTGAGGTGGATATATCTGGCTTTCCCTAGGAATTGCATCATGGTCACAGCCTTTGCTGGGGCTGTTCCTCAGAGTTCAAGGAAAGAAGTTTGACTTTTCCTGTTGCCAGAGGACAGTTGTTTACTTGGCCCTTGGCTGGTCTGGTGGGAGGGGACAATCTCTGCCTTCACCTTGGCCTCCCCTGGGTTCTGGGTTTCCCCTCTGAGGCAGCCCTGAAATCTCACTCTCAGTGTAGAAGCTGAGGACGTGGAGGGGGCCTTCCGGATGGTGTGACTGAGGTGCCTCATTCATGAGTTGTTGTTAGTTGCTGTCTAGTCAAATACCAATCATGGTGACCCCACATGTGCAGAATAGAACTGATCCATAGGGTTTTCAAGGCTGTGACCTTTTGGAAGCAGATCACCAGGCCTGTCTTTTGAGATGCCCCTGGGTAGGTTCGAACAACCAACCTTTTGGCTAGTAGTTGAGCACTTAATCATTTGCCACCCAGGGATTCCTTCATTAATGAGAGCCCTCATTAAACCTCGGTGTCTGCAACAACCTCTCCCCCACCCCTCAACAGAAGTCTTTACCCCTAGTTTACAGCACACTAACTGCTGATGAATCAAGGAATGAGGGTGGCCCGAGGCAGGCATTGGGTGACAGGACTCTAGGTCCCAGGTCCACCCCACTCTCTAGGCCATTTCCGCAGCCCTGCAAACAGTTCCCAGGGGCCTTCCTTGCCCCTGTATCTTACACCCAAGCCTGGGAGTAGAAAGGCACCAAACATCGCAGGACCTTTTGTACAGGGATTCTGGCCCCTCACCTTGGCTCAGAGCCCTGGAATGCTTACTGAATACACCCTTAACAAACCTCTTCCCAGAAGTAGCTCAGCAAGGTCTGGGAACGTGCTGTGCTAGCAACTTTGCTGTTACAACACGGAGACTCCTCCTCCTCCACCCAGCTTAGCACAGAGCATGGGACAATTTGTGGAGTCTCTATAGGGTTGCTATGAGTTGGAATCGACTCAACGGCAACGGGTTGGTTTGTTTTTTTTTTGTCCAGTGCAAGTGCTGATGGCAGGATTCACTGCAGAGACCTGGGGACTGTATGGCTGGCACCAAGCTTATACCCTGACCATGACAATGCCAGATGACTTCCTGGTGTGTAGCTGTGTCCCTGTATGGCCCTGGAGGAGGTCACTGAGAGCCTGGTGAGATCAGGGGAGGAGAGGCAATAAGTGAGGAGCCTGAGGAAACAGCGCGCCCAACATTTTGCCAGCCAGGAAGGCCAATGGTATTTTCCCCAGGAAAGCTTTGAAAACTCAATACCTGTGGATCAGGCATGAACTTAATAAGCCACCAACTCAGACATCACTTTATTTTCCTATATCTAAAATTAATCTCTAGCCCAAGCCCCTGACATTTTGAAGTAACCTCAGTCCAATTTATTGATTTCTCTGTTGCTCTGAGTGACTCTGTCAGGATTTTTACCCTCCCTGCCCTCCCTGGGGAGGAGCCCTGGAGGCGTGATGGTTAAGAACTTGGCTGCTAACTGAACGATCGGTGGTTCAAACCCACCAGCTGCTCCACAGGAGAAAGATGTGACAGTCTGCTTCAGTAAAAATCACAGCCTTGGAAACCCTGTGGGGAAGCTGTACTCTGTCCTTTAGGGTTGCTATGAGTTGGAATTGACTCGACGGCAACAAACGTGGTTTTATACTCTTTACAGAAGCAGATTGCCAGGTCTTTCTTCTACTGTACTGCTGGGTGAGTTCAAGCCTTTAGGGTAGTAGTCAATTGCAAACCACTTGCACCACCCAGGGGCCTACAAAATACCACAAAGTAGGTGGCTTTAAAGAACTTTTCTTTTTTTTCTCACAGTTCGGGAGGCTAGAAATCCAAATTAGGGTACAACTGTATTGATTGTTCCTGGGGGCTTTGAGAGAGAAACTGTTCCATACTTCTCTCCTAGTTTCTGGTGGCTGCCAGCAATCCTTGGTGTTCCTTTGCTGCTTGTGGATACATCTGCCTCCAGGGTTACATGGAGTCTGTTTTTCCCATGTCGCTGTTTCTGTCTCTGTCCTCCTTTTTTTTACAAGACATCATTCAGGAGGGATTAGGACCCACCTTACGTGGTATGCCATTGATTTAGCTAATGACATCTGCAAAGAAAAACCCTATTTCCCTATAAAGGATCACATTCATAGGTACAGGGCTTCAATTCATCTAAATGAAAAAAAACAAAAAACCAAACCCATTGCCGTCAAGTCCGACTCATAGCTGGACGGAGAAGAGCTGCTACATAGAGTTTCCAAAGCTGTGATCTTTACTGAAGTAGCTGGGAGTTCTAACCGCCGACCTTTAGGTTAGCAGCTGAGCAGTTAGCCACTGTGCCACTAGGGCTCCTTGTCTAAATGAAAGTCCTTGTTAAATCTCAGTGTCTGCAGCAACCTTCTATGTCCCTCCAGCCCACTCCAGACTCTTCGCCCCTAGTTTACAGCACACTGACTGCTGATGAGGAAGGAATGAGGGAGGCCCAGACGGGCATCGAGTAACAGGACTCCTGGTCAGTCCCTGCTGACCCTCTGTCTTACACCCAAGGCTGGGAGTCAAAAGGGACCAAACCAAAGGGAAACGCCAGATACCCACTCTACCAGCAGGCTCTGTCTGTTCCCATACTTACCCCTGCCCCCCACTGTTGTGACTGGGGCACAGACTCTTAGTTCCAAGTGGGGTCTTGTCCACCCCTACCTTTGGATTCGTGAACTTTATTAAAGGGAGGTTCTAGCCAAAGGCACAGGTACCCCTACAGCTGTTCTCTCATTTCCTTCAAACACTTGACCCTCCTGCCCACTTGCAGCTGGGTGATCATCTCAAGTTTTGTGTGAGGCATGTGGGGGAGGGGAGTGCGGCATACTCCTGCCAATACTACCTGTCCCACACCTGCAGGCAACTTTTGAATTTAAAATCCAAGAATTCGATGGGTGGGAGAGAGAGGGGTCCCAAATAATTCCTGTGAGTGGGTTCCTGAGATGAAGCTGTTTCCTGTTGTCGTCTGCTCCGCTCCCTTCTTACCCATTAAAGCCTGAAGGGTATTCCTGGGGAAGTTTGCAAAGGCCACACTCTTTGCCCTTCCTTTGTCTCATCTCTTCTTTCTCACTTTCCTTTTTACCTCCTTTCCATCTCTTTTTTCCCATCACTGCCAGCAGCTTCTTGTCTTTCTAACTTTTTCTTTTTTTCTCGTTTCTTTCTTTTCATTCCTTTTTCCCCTTCCCATCAGCCTCCTTTGATCACTTTCCATGTTTACTTTTGCTATCTTTGAGAAGTAAGAAAATTGGCGTGCTCTATTTTGTCCCAGATGGGCCCTACAGTATTTTCCTAGGAATCAGCTTTTCCAGCCCGTGACAGGGGTAGTTTTCCCTGGAATCCTGGGACCTCATTCAGTGGGTCACACATTTTGCTCCCAGAGCAGATTCACAGGACACAGGCCTGAAGGCTCCAAAGCCACTGGTGACCTTGTGCTCCTGGAAGTGAGTCCCAGACGGCCTCACTCCTGGCGCCCTGGGCTGCTTCTGTGGCTCTGAAGAAGGCCCCTTGTGCTTTCTCTGTGTTTTCTATCAGAGATGTTGCAAGGTCACAAACAGGAAAACATGTTTTAGCAAGGTCATAAAAACTGATAGAGTTCCTGTTAAAGATGTTTCTGGGACTCTGGGAACAGTGCAAACAGCTGGGTTAGTGATCTGTTAATGACCTTTCTTTAACAATTAAAAACCAGTTGCTGTCAAGTCGACCTCAAATCATGGTGACCCCCTGTGTATCAGAGTAGAACTGTGCTCCATAGGGCTTCAGGGGCTGATTTTTTGGAAGTAGATCATCAGGTCTTTCTTCTGAGGCACATCTGGGTAGACTTGAACTGCCAATCTTTCAGTTAGCAGCTGAGTGTGTTAACCATTTGTACCACCAGGGACTCCTCTTTACACTAATATTAGAAAATTTCAATAGAATGACAGAGAAGTCAATCTTTAAAAAAAAAAAAAAGACTATAGCTTCCTACTACTCTGTCCTATAGGGTTGCTTGAGTTGGAATTGACTCGACAGCAACGGATTTTTTTTTTTTTTAATAGGTTTGTACTGGTTTCTTAGGAAACAGCAGTGTGGAAACACTGGCAGTTTCAGACTTGGCAAGAGATGGGGAGAGGTGACAAAGGAAAGACAGTCCAGCAGGGAACCCCCAGCTGCTCCTCCCTGTGCGTGGGGAGAGCCTGTGGGGTCTGTCCAGCCACTCTGAGTCTAATTAGTCCCCCTTTTCAACATGCCTCTGGCTGTTGCTGCTGCTACTGGCACTTTCCAGTCTGGGGATCGGCACACTGCAAACAACAGGCCAAATCTGGCCCACTGCCTGCTTTTGTATGTCCAGTCAGCTAAGAATGATTTTTCCATTTCTAAGTGGTTGAAAACAAAATCAAAGGAACAATATTTTGTGACATGTGAAAATTAAATGAAATTCAAATTTCAGTGTCCATAAATTAAGTGTTATTGGAACACAGCCATGCCCATCATTTATCTATCATCTATGGCTGTTTTCCCCCACAAGGGCAGAGTTGAGTAGTTAGTTGTAACGGAGACTGTTATCTCCTGCAAAGCCTAAAATGTTTACTATCTGGTTCTTTTAAGAAACAGGTTGCTGACCCCTGAATTAGTCCACAGACATGA